GTCATGTACATAGACACTGTCATATACATTTCCAGTGATGATACAGTAGCTGTTTAACTGATGGCTTCCCTTTCATCTAGTTAATTAATCCTACGTGTAGCTTGAGAATGCTGTGATAGATTTGTCACTTATGAGTTATCAGGTAAGTTTTAAGGTCATAACAAATTGAAAGTTGGTGCAGGAATTTTTGTACTATTCTTCAGTCTTGAGGTTCAGAAGTGCAATTCCCCTCTGTCTTTTTTTTTTTAACTTTTGTGATTTTACATTAATTTTCAGTTAGTTTAGACAGAACTTCTGGATTTTTATTGGAAGTATTTTGGCTTATAATACTTAAAGGCAAAATTTATTCCCTTTCAAGCTCCACTGTGTGGATGGCACTCTTTCTGTTGATTTCCCTTTGATATGAGCATGGGAGTGTTGTTGACTAGCTGGTGCTTCATATGGAGCATCACTTCTGTGTTGTGGTATGTGTGTTTGCATGCTTCTTGTGTCTTTATACAGAATTTTAGGCACATTTGTTAGCCTCCTTCTGTTCTAACAAATGGGAATATTTTTGGTAGTAATGAAAAGTGGGAACTCTCTACTATGACAACGTAGGCAACAACTTATTTAAAAGTTATTCTAGTTGATAACCTATAATAACACCCTTATTGAAGACGGGAATTAATTTTTTCATAGTTCTTTACAATGGATAACATAAAATATTATTTTATCTGCCATTACTTTAAAAAAAAAAAAAAAAAGGAAAGCTTACTCTTAGAAGTCTGGTTCCTTTGTCTACTTGGTTTTTAGTTAATGTGTTCTTTTGATAACCTTTATATCATTTCATGGGATTGTGTAAAGCAGTTCAGGAAAAGCAGGTTAATAGAAGAATATAGACTCTAAAATGTTCTAAAAGATGTGGATTCTGGTCCCAGTGGAGACTGACACTCCAGCCTACTTACTGTAACTGGAAGGTATTGATTTTCTTCTCCCCCGTTTTAGCTGCACCACTGAATTAGGTATTGTGAAGCATCTTTCCCTGTGAAGAGAGGAAAAACTGTCATGAACTTCTTCACCCTAACAGTACTGCATTTCAAACTAAACCCGATTGAATGGAAAAGTCTGTAAGGACCCTGTAACTCAGCTCCCCAGTCTCATTTCTCTCTTTCCAACAGCTGTTCCAGCAACCTTAAGAAAGTATGATAGATGACTGTAAGAAATTGATTTTAAAATCTTTTTTCATTAAAAACAACAACAACAATAAAACAATGTGAAACGATGCATTCCTGTGGCATGATCTCCGAAGGTTAGGGAAGTGGTCTTGTTCAGGTTTTCAGCAAGATGTTCAGTTACTGTTATAATTGGCTGATGAGTAGGTTTGGGCCTAACTAGAATGCCAGTGTTCGATTTCACAGTGTCCTCTGTGAAGATATGTCACCATTTACCCTGGCTTTAGTGACAATTTTCTAAAAAGGAAACTCGTGGGAAATCATTATGCTGTTTATATGTCTCCCTTGTTGGAGAGCATTATCCTGTGATATTTTAGCACTGTTTTCCACTGCATGATGGCATCTAGCTAAGGTTAAGGCAGAACAAGTCCCTTTGCAATTTTGTGACTATATTTTACTTACTGAAGGAGAAAAGATAACCGACAATTAAGTATTTCAGATGTCACTGAAAGAACATGTGCAACTAATCAATTACATCCTTAGGGAACATGATTTTATGAAACTGATAAGGTAGAAAAATTGAGGATTTTGTTATTTGTGTTACATAATAATAATTGCACCCTTTCAATGAAAAAGACATTTCTGCTGATGTAAACATCAGGCTCTCCCTTGTGTTGTGTTGTGGGGTTTTTTTCTGGAAGCACAGAGTAGTTCATTAAAGTGTGACAGTAACAGATAAACACACTTTACAATTTTCTAAGAAAATATGGCACTTATACTCTTAGTTCAGCTGAAATCAATGGGTTGAAAAACGTGTTTCTGGAGTCACTTCCCAAATCATTTGATAGAGCTTGTGTTAGATGCTTTACTTGTGGGGGGGGTTATTTATTTTATGAAGGAAATACACATGCTTGGGTTTTTTTTCTTAAATTAATCTACTTAGCACTCTGGGTCCCGTATTTGAAACTCATTGCTATGATCTTGGTAGAATTTGGATGTAGTAGAAATTCACATTACAATCAAACTCAGTGTGAGTTTTTATTTCTTTGAAAATATTTATCTCTTAAGTTTCTAATGGCAGAGCAAACAAGATAGTAGTCATACTTATAAGCCAGCATCATATATTCACTTGAACAAGTGCTACAGTTGAGCATATTACATCACAAATCAAGATAGTGGTTGAGAGACTTTACCTGCTGTTTCCTTTCCTCCTCAGCTATCATTTAAAGATATTAGGTTTGCAAAATATGTGTTTCTTAGAAGTTTTTAGACAGAAATCAAAAATCTGTTGTATTATGGGTTGTTCCAGGTAAATTAAGCCACTTGTGGTAACATTTATTTCTGATGTAAGAGTATTCTTTGCAACAGTTTAAATAGGAAGTTGAGAATGCTTACATTTTTTTCTAAATGTCCACTTTGGGCCACCACCAGAGATAGGAAATGTATCTAGACAGACACACCTAATCCAATTGGCTGGGTTTTTTTGTTGTTGTTCCCCAGGGGTTTTTTTTTTCTCCTTTCCTTTGGTTTCCGCCCTGTATTTAAATGGCAAGATTATGTTCTGGGCCTTAGTTGTATCAAAGCCAATGAAGTCAAGCCAGAAGATAATTTGCCCCCTTATTAGGATAATTAACTTGCATCTTCCTTTTTTTTTTTTTTTAATGTTTGAAGTGCATGTCACATTGCATTACCTCAGTTGAAAAATTCTCCTCTGTTCAATGCAGTGATTACTGCCTTCATAAAATTCTGGAAATCGTAAAATTCACAATTAAGAGAGGTGGCATACAAATACAGTGGAATGCAAAATTACCTTTGCTTCTCTGCAAATTCTACATCTTCAAGTTTAGTGATCACCAAAGCAGTGTTACTGATAGCTAATAAACTTTATAGCTTACCGCACTGAAGCAGATGCTATTTGCTTACATGTTTTTGTGAAGTATATTTGAGCAAGGCCAGGATTAGCAGGGTTGACTTAATACGTGTGGAAAAAAAAAAAAAAAAAAAGAATAAATAGAATGAGGTATTAATCTGGAGTAAGTGGAAGTAGAAGCAAATAGGTTTGTAAGAGCTGTCAGGAGTTTTCCTTTTATACAATGATGTATCCTTCTCTTCTTTCCTGTTCTGTTCAGCAGCCTCAGCAGGCAGCTCAACTTTTGGAAAAAACTGTCAGGAGGTGTAAGTATGAGGTTGCATATAAACACCAGATGCCCTTAAACATCTTTATACAACTTTTTGTGGTTCTTGGTTGCATATAATTAGTAAGATGGTTTTATTTGAGCCAATGATATGCATTGTTATGCAATTCACACACCCTCTGAATATGCATCCACCTCCACCCCTCCTTTTGTGCATAACCTGAATGCAGAACAGGACAAATTTTGCAGCAACAAGGTGCTGATTTTGCAGAATGAAAATGGAGTGGCATTTTTTAATGCATCTTCATATAGAGGTGAACTGAAAGGCTTAACACTTGCCAGCACCTCAGACCTCCTTGTTCATTACATCCATTAAAATCCAGAACAGAAAAGTTTAAAAGCTGCATTTTCCCCTGTTCTTTTATTCAGATTTGTTAGTGATGGCCTCAGTTGTTGAGGAAGTGTAGACATAAAAAAAGAACCAGTTCTGAAATATCTTGGTTTTCAAAAGCATTTTTTTCTTTAAGGCCATTCACATCTTAAGTATTTTTAACACTAAGTGTGTTTTCCTCATACCAATAACCTTGGTATTAAATTTGCTATCAAATCTAGATGACTTCTAGGTGTCTCCTTTTTTTTTTTATGACCCTGTTATCCTCTACATATGATTGTGTCTCCCTTGTGATACTGTAATGTAAGAAAAATACACAAGGGATAAGTTACCTCCTGGATGTAAGCAGAGTAATGTTTCTTCCCATCACCAGACTTATTTCTTCCTACATGAATTTCTTCTAACATACGGTATGAAAGTGAACAGGATGAACATGGATAGCTTGTAAGAGTCGATCTATTTATAAATCCAGTGAAGTTTCTTCCATACCTTCAGTCACTTTGGGTCAGGACTTTATGAAGGAAAGCTCTTTACCAAAGAGCTTGTGGCTTTCATTTGCATGTGAAGTACATGTGTTTTCAGAATGTATGGCAGTATGAACAGTAAAGAAATAGGTGCTTATTCTTTCAGGTGAGACATTGGTTGAATTTATGAACTGCTTTTGTTTGCCTTGTGAAAATTGTAAATAATCTTTTCAGTAAAAAAACAGAGGATGGCTTCTGGCCATTATGTGGCCACCTGTATGGAAGGATGTGGCAGGTCTGGTGAGCAGCTCCTTGGTCAGAGCTTTGTCATTAGGAGCCACAGTGCAGATACAAGGAGTGCACTGTAAGCTGACCTGTCAGGCGAAGCAAAGAGTTCCCCTTGTTATCATTCACCAAGGTATGAGCTAATAAAACTGCTCAAAGTGGAGACTTCCTTTTTCCGCTTACAGGCCAGAGGGGAGTCTTTTGTCAGGTGAAAGCACTGAGCTGAGGCTGCTTTATTTTATCTTTTAAATAAACAGATTTTTTTTCACAAATGAGCATGCCAGTAACTTAGTTCCAGAATCAGACATCTCTGCTTGAGAGGCATCTAACTTGGCACCAGTGATGGTAGGTGAAATAGAATCTATTAGTGTAAGCTGAATGTATTTTAATGTGATTCATCAAGAACTGTGGTTTTCCTGTTGAAATGAAGCATTCCAAAATAGGTGTAAAAAAATGGAGAATTGGAAATTGTTGCAAGAGTGAAATGTTTTGGTAGCTTGAATGGAAGTGTGCAATATTTACAATATTTTTAAAATGCATATTTCTATTTTGGCTTTTTTTTTTTTTTTTACAGACAGTCATTTTAGAAAATGAAGAGCTCCCTAAAATATTTCTTGATTTTCTGAACGTTCGCCATGTACCTACCTTGCCAAAAGCAGAAAGCTGTGGGTAAGCTCTTATTTACTGAAAAATACATGGAGGCCAAAAGGCCCATATTCACTCAGTGCTGATGCAATTCCATTGACTTAAAATGGTCTTGCTGCCAACTCTAACACTGTAAAATAAATGGGCATTAGGTTCATGTTAAGTATGTTTATATATCCCCAAAAGGTCATAAAATAAATCCAGACAGTTCAAAGACAGAAGTGAAGTTTAATGTAATATTCTTGGAAAGCAAAGGAGTTTAGATGAGAAAAATATGATTTTCTCATAGATCTTGAAGTATCTACTGAAATGTAAGATTTTCATGAACACTCACTAAAATTGCATAGAAAGCATTTGCATGTGTTTTAGAGTCATAGTATCTGCACAAAATAGAAGTTCATTCTGTGATCATTTTATGATCTCTCTCTCAGTGTTTGAAAATGAGGTCTTTCACCTTTCTGATGACATCTACCCCAGTGACCCAACTGCTTCTCCCCTGGGAAGAGTTCTTAATCAGAATGGCAAGAGGGAATCTTAGTATGATGAGTGTAATGACTGTAGAAATACTCAAAACAGTGTAGCTGGAAGCTCTGTTACCTCCGCAGCTCTGAGCTTTGTAGGGAGAATTTTTTTTGCTATGTAAGCTGTGTTTGATAGTGCAGAAGTGTTACCAGAACTTGCTCCCCAGAAAGCTGCATGACCCTCTTCCACTTAGCAGGGGGCTCTTTGGGTCTGCAGTGGTGAGAAGGCCAATTGACTTGAAGATAATTTTGAGGCCCTCTTACACTTGGAGGAATCTATGACCCAGGGCACTGTCCAGAGGGATTCAGAAGCTAACAGACTTGTAGTTCTCACTTGTATTTAATGACATTGGCCAGTATCCTCAGTGGGACTGTACCCCAACACTTCATAGACAGATAGATAGAAATGCTTGTGAACCTGTTACAGTAAAATGGACCTATCATTTTCAAGTAGTGGGGGTTGTAAAATGATACAATCTCCCACATTCATCTCATTAAACTGAATCATAGAGCCAATGACCAGATAAAGATTGCTCCCTTTGGTGATTCTTAAAGAATTTGGGTTTTTTAGTTATAAAATTAATCTTGTTGTAACCAGAGTTTCCTCTCACTTTACTTGCAGCTCTTTTGATGAGACAGAATCTGAAGAATCAAGGTGAGCTTGATTCCTACTCTTTCTAGGACACCTGATTATCAAATTACTTGAAATTATTGGAGGTTACTGTATTTGGTCCTCACAGATGATGAATTAGCAGTAGTTTAGCATTAAAATTAGATGTGGTTGTTAAATGTTATGGATAGTTTGATCAGCTTTGCTAGGTCTGTCCATTTGTAGTGTGAATTGAGCATCCATGTGCTAGTATTGAGAAATTCCTTGCAAAACTAATAGAATATTGCCAGCTCTGAAATATATCTAGGAATGTAGCAAGAAGATTTAGTAGAAGAAATTAAAGGTTTGGGTTGTCCCTGATGCGTTAGATAGAGCTTTGTATGTATGTGGTTGCACTGCTTGGCATGCGTATGTACCAAGCAGAAAGGAGGGGGCTGGGAGAGCGTGGCTGTGCCATGACCAGGGTGGGAATTAGGCCTGTGAGGGGCTTACAAGGACTTTCTCTCTGTGAGTGAGGGGTACAGCTGCTGCTTTAGGGGTGCAAGAACATGGTGACACTTTGAGTCTGTTTGGTTTCCTGAAGAGCCTGTAGACATGGAGCCTGGTTGCAGATGATTTTGTAGCCTATATTATGCCAAGTGCCGGGGAGCAGAGCAGGATCAGGAGGTCTCAGAGCCAGCTGCAAGTCACCCCTCCAGGTTGCAGTCCCTTTACGTCCAACTTCACATTGAGGGTTTCACTGTGTGGCTGAGGAGCAGCAACCTTTGCTTCCAGAAGACGGAGCCTGCCCTACTGGGCAGTGCTGGTGTGTGGAAACATACCGCGTGGCTCCTGCGCAGCTCAGACACCTTGCTTTATCAAAGCTAGTTTGTAGAATATTCTGTGTGCTGTCCCTTGATACTGACATCCCTGTTCTTGACCTTTCCAGCAAACTGTCCCACCAGCCTGTGCTGCTGTTCCTAAGGGATCCATATGTCTTGCCTAAAGCCAACGGTAATCAAACCTGTCATCTGTTAACAGCACTTTACTGATCTGACCCTGCACCGCATAAACCACATTATTATTAATACCAGCCTAGTCAAATGACACTGGTGCAAAATCCAATAACCTGCCAATAAAACAATAGTTCTTGTGTAAGAAACCATTAAAACACTAAGTGGGGTGGGTGATTTATAAAAGACTGGAATTTTCTTCCCCAGTTGTTTCCTCAGACAAACCTACTGAGAAATCAAAAGATGAAGAATGTTGCATTTCTTTTCTTGTTGACCCTGTCGGCTATTTTGCCTGAAGGATTTGAACTTAGAGGCCTAGTCCTTTGCAAGTGCTTTTTTCCCTAAACACCGGTCGATCTTCTGCAAGAATGTTTGTATTTCCATTTGGATTGTTACTATTTCTTATCATTTATAACCTCTAGAGCTCTTTCCAGCAAAAAAAAAGTATACTGAAAATATAGTTGATGTGTTTCACAGGACATTTACATTAGCATTCATCTCATAATACGTGGTTCAAAAGAGTGTTTGAAGTAGCTTGTTATAACCCCTTTTTAAATAGAAAAAAAAATTATTTGATTTATTAATTCAGAAAACTTATCCTCTCTTAAATTAAATGTGTGCAGAAAAAGAAATACCATTTTCAGAGTGTGTTCTGCCTGGTTTTGTCATCTTACTTGTTTGAACTGTTACTTCTACTAAATCTTTTATTAAAATTGTAATAGCTCTCAAGAGAGAATCTTCTCCCTGAGCTGTACATTAAGATTCTTTTTTAATGTGGCATTTTGTTTGATTTTACAAAATACTGTGTAGAAATCAATAGAGAGATTCTTGCAGTACCTTGAAAATCATTAAATTTTTAAGACTAAATTTATGAACAAACGCTTTTTTACTTGCAGTTTCTTAACCAAAGGAATGAACTTCCTTGAGATTTTCTCAAAATGCTTATCGATACCTGAAGGGAGGGTGTAAAGAGGACAAAGCCAGTCTCTTTTCAGTGCTGCCCAGTGACAGGACTAGAACATCAGGAACGTCAGGAAACACTTTTTCACCAACACAGGTTGCCCAGAGTGAAGTCTCCATCCCCGGAGAGACTGCAAAGCTGTCTAGCCAGTCCTTTGTGACCCATGTCCACAGAAGACACATTACAGGGTTGTTTAGTTTTGACTTTGACTTAGCACTAGTCTGCTCACATGTGCTGAATGTCCATTTGAGGCTGGAGTGCAAATCACAAACTCAGTGAACTGAAGCACAGAGAAGGTCACTTCACAAGGACAATTCTGACCCAAGTGACAACAGTGATGAAGAAGCACCCACAGAGTTTTTTTAAGTCTTTTTAAAGTTTTTTAGAGTCTTTTTAAAAGTTGTTACTTGTATTTAGAGTGAGACACATTGCATGTATTAATTTTACTGTTGAAGGCTCCTCCTAATTGCATACTTGATTCCCTGAGAACAGGTGTACTTGATTCCTTGAGAACATCATTTAATTCCCTACCATTCTGAAGAGATAAAATGGATTTCATATACAGTTATCCTGAAAAAGTGTGATGGTACTTAATATTTCCAGTGCACCTGTAGCGTTTTGCTGTAAGACTTCTGTTCAGGATTTTGCAGTACTGTGATGGTATTTATCTTCCTTCCATAACATGTACTCCGAGGAAGGCTAAGCTTCCTCTTTGTGAAATCATTAGGAACTTAATTTTCTAATTCATTTTGTAACTATTCTTTTAAGTAGTGTTTTTCTTGGATTAAGATAAAAGCTTCTTCTAATGTGCAAGATGTTTAAACATTAGGTTGGCCTCCTTAATGACATCTGAAACAATGGACATTTCAGACTTTTGCCAAGGCATTTTCTGGCCTTGAATCAAAATATTTAGAATTTTATATGGCAGGTGAATATTTTTTGTGTTTGAAAACCCTAAAACATCAAATTCATTTGCAAGTTATTTTTTAACTTATTGAATTAAAACACAAATTAGAAAGTGAGTTGTGGTTTAAAAAGGGAGAAAGAAAACCAAATTTTAAGTCTAGAGGCTCTACTAGTTGACTTTAGTCTAGTTAGAAAAAAACACAGTTTTTACATGACTATCATCGCTTTTAATTCTTCTTCTTTGTTTTTAGTTTGCAGCACAGAGAAAATATAGATGAGCTTTCTAAAATTTTCCCTCTCAGATCAGTTCTTACTTTCATAGATTCTGATTCCCTTGTAAAAACAGCCAAGGTTGTTCAACCTATGACCAAAAGTAAGTGTCTATTAACAAATAACTATTTGTTGTATGTTTTCTTTGAAGAAGGTGAACAGTTTTTTCAATCAGAAGTCTCTCCTGGATACAAGAATGCCTCTGTTAACATATTTCCATAGAATAGGAAATAGTGTAAGTTTTAAACAAAATAAATAGCTCTTTCTGGAAGATAATACTCAAAGGATATTTTTACCCTCTCATTGCACTGTTACTTGTCTTTATAAAATAAAGTCTTGCCATTATTCTGATGACCAAGCTTTAAGGGCTGTTGAGTTGCAAAACAACTTTCCAAAAATAAGAGTCACAGTTACAAACCTCACTGATTTTCAGATTCCCTTTTTCATGATGTATATGACAGTCTGGTTGCACATCATTTTTTTGTGTAAGGGTATGGGGAGAAAAATAAAGGAAAAACCTAATCTGCAAATTGAAGATGATACCTCAGAAGCTTAAAAAAAATGGAATCTGAGATTTACTGTCACTTGTTTGAAAGTTGTTGTGATGATTCTTTAAGCCATGCAAATATCACAGATCTGCAAGACTGTGGTTGATGTATTTATATGTTTAACTTGAATTGATGTGCCTGATTTTTTTAAGCAGCACAGGATCACAATAACTCTAATGTTGCAAAGTTGTATCATTTTTTAAATCAATCTTTATTTTCCTATGTATACTGTATGTTATAGCAGAACCAATAAAAATTGATTTCTGGAACTGCAGCCTTTAGTTTAGAAGGAAAGCATCAGATTGCCTTTACAAGTGTATTTTTAATACCATTTGTGACAACTGCATAGGGTTATTCTTCCAGGGTAATTTGGGACAGCTGAACTTGGAGGATTTGAGGAAACAGTCTTGGATTCAAAATATTAACAAGTCATTTGACTTATTATGAGGAATTGGGGAGAATTATGTGTGTATTGTTTACATTGGAGGTTACAGTTCATTAAAACATCCTAAAATATCTGATTGTAACATCTGTAATATTCTGGAATCACCTCATTAATACCAATGAAATAACACATTTAAGCTAATAAGGATTTTTTTTTGTAAATAAAGTCCAAAGCTACTCTTTGCTCAGTATTTTTACCTCAAAAATTATTTTTGTGAAAGAATCAGGGACAAAACCTAATTCCCATCCCCATTAGTTGATCTAATATATCTAGTATCTAATGATTCTTTGTGAATATCCCATCACCTGATAGTTGAAGATTTGGTTAGTGTGGATAGTTCTGTATCAGAAATAGTCTATTCTTAGAGGCAAACCTAGGTGTACTAGCAATTTTAAGGTTGTAAGAAATGATCAGAAATTCTTACTATTAATGCCTGGTCATTTAAGTAATCTCTTCATTAAAAACTCAGGTGCATTTCAAAAATCTTTTCACTTCAGTAATATACATCTTGCCATTCCTCTGCTTGGATCTATTACTGTGTTCTATCAGGTAATTCATGTCAAATTGAACATGAAAATTAACTGCCAGTTTCCTCTGCATCTGTGATAACAAAATAGTGGAGGTTTTTTTCCTTCAAATATTATAGGATGAGTTTTAGTAATATGACATTTTATGTTGATTGGACAACCTGAAAATTTCATGCCTCAAATAATCATCTCTGTCTTCTCAGTTTAAACATTGCTGTAAACCACAATCAAAAAACAGCTTTAAAGTATTCCCAGTAGCAATCTTGAAATTTCTTCAGGTATATTGAGATTTTGTTAGAAATTGAATTGCCAGTGTAATCCATCTTCCTTGTGAGAAAAGATCCAGATAAAGAGCTGGAGTCTAGCAGCATTAAGTATTAGAACATCCCTTTAAATCAATAAGCTACAAATCTGGCAGCGCATTCATGCAATGCCCAGTGCTACCCTAAAGTGGCTTTTAGTGCTGAAACAGCATTACTAATAGCACAACCCAACATGGATAAACATTAACCTGAAGTGTAGGAGGCCTTACCTAGTTAAGTTCCATAAAAACATTTATATTGTACTGACATGGATAAGAAAGTAAGTTTGTTTCTTTTTTCTTTTTTTTTTTTTCCAGATGACTTCCCAAACGTAGTTATAGATGGCATTCTACATGGAATATTTTATCCTCATTTACTGCCAAGGTAGAAGTGATGTGTGGGGAGAAGAAGCTGAAGCAAGTCTCTGAGTCACATTTAATAGAATTAACAAGAGTAAAATTCTGTGATGTGAAAATCATGCTCAGAAGCAAGAGGCATGACCTCAGAATAATTTCATGCATTGTATCTTTTTAAATAAAATCACTGTCATTACAGTTGCTGCTTTTAAAAAAATAGATATGGAAACAACAGTATTGAAGTTATTTATACCTTATATATATTGACATGCTCCAACTATTTAACACTAAATGTTCTAAGTCATACACTGAATTGTGCTAACCTTTGAAAAGTTTTACTAATTATTTCTATAATTTTTATCAAAGCAAACACTAAACATTTTTGCACCAGTTTTTCCCAACGCATTACCCATGGCTGGCACTGGATGGATTAAAAGCACTGAAGAGAGTGTGTGAGGAATTGGAAAGCATGCTTTCACATTCTGAAACACATGGCACTCTCTGAGGAAATTTTCTAGATTTCAGTTGAAATTATTTTACTTACCAGGAACTTTCATGTGGGATTTATGAATCTCCCTCCAGTTACAGCATCTAACCCATGTGTATGTTTACTCTCAACATCAACTTGCAGATTGTATTCCATATCTTAACCTTTTATACATCACAGAGCATGTAACTCTGTGGTAAGGTAAAGCAAGAATATGACTAAGATTATGATCAAACTAAAACTGATATATATGTTCAGATTTAACTGGAAATTTGTATGTGTACTACTGGACATTACAAAATAAATTACTAGGACATGGATGTACTGCTTTGGTGTCTTTTTTGTGCTTTTCTATTGAAGCAAAACATTTCTCTGAGCTGCTGCCACCAGAAATGGGTCTCACAGATGTCTCCATGATAAGTATGAGAAAATACCTCTGTGTGTGCTTATTTAAAGCTCTTAGCACCACACCATCTGAACATGCTAGGCTTATGTTGTGTTATGTCGTGGTAAAAAGAATTCACTGTAACTGACCAGCCAGTTAGTCACTGAGCTCATCAGTGGAAGGAGTGTTGCACAAAAGCAGCAAGGGCAAAACTAAGCACAAACGGGGGTTGTCTCCTCTGACTACTAAATGTGTTTGGAAGCCGCCTGGGGAGAGTGAAAAGCTGGCACTTGGAGAGTAGGCCTGTGACTACATGTCACACTACAGCACTTGGTCAGGTAGCAGAATTCTATGCTGTCTGCAGGATCAACCTCCAGGAAAGCTTTCAGCTACTAGCAGAAAGCTTTTTGGGCAAGGGAATCTAAGGCATTCTTGCTCCTACTTCCTAACCCTGCTTCCCAGTCCTCCTCTTCAGAGAATTTTACTTTAAACAGTTAGTAGAAAGAAAAATTATCATGGGTAAAAGGGAAGTCTTGATTGCCTAGCACTACTCAAATTTAGGGGCCCTTGCCAAGTTCTCCTCTAGGTCTTCTTAAAGAGGGCAGTGATCCTTTCACAGGTCTCTGAAAAGAAGTGTCAGAATTTACCCTCAGGAGAGGCCCCAGAGCTGTGGATGATGAACCAGGAACATCCCTGTAACTGCAAATTACATGTCAGGAGGACATGGGGTAATCCCTGCCAGTAGTTTCCCATTTCCTTGCATATGGAATGTCAGCAGGTACAAGTTCTGTGCTGTAGCTCCTACGCTGCACCACTCAAGGTCTGGATACCTCACATGGACTCCAGGACACGCTTCAGGAAACTAGTCACTACAAAGAGGAGTGGCGTGCTGCCTTCTGCACAGGTGGATGCATCCTTCATGAAATTTGGCAGCAGCTCTTCTGTGTCAAGTTCTAAAACACTCGGATTAAAAAAAACATCTCTGTCCCGTAGAGTACTATGTAACTCATTGAAGAACTTCACTGATGCAGGTGTCTCAAAGTGTTACCTTACACTAACCTTGTTTAAAAGCTGCCAGTTAAGTTGTCAGCTTAAAAGTTACTTAAAAAGCATCACAAAAATAATAACCTTAAAGTTGCATCTCTGACGTACAGCAAAACTTAAAAAAAAAAGCACTTGAGCTTTGTAATAAGTAACATCAGCTAGGTTACAAAACTGACTGTGCTATAAAACAAGGACTCCTCCGTTTTCAATAACAGACAGAAACGCTGCTCTTTCTTGATTACAGGGAGGTATCTGAATACCGTGGTTCTTTGAAAGACAGCAGGGACTTTAAGATTAACAGGGACATGTTAATGATTAGGTAAATTTGCCATCCCTACTCTAACCTTATAACCATATTTCCTGCAAAATGGAACCCCCTGCATATTTTGCAGAATCAGCTAAGATGAGAAAAAAGATCTTCGGGAGGGGGGAGGAAGAAAAAAAGAATTTCAAGTATTTATTTGAAATCAAAGTTTATTTATTCAAAACACTTCTGTATGTTACTTTTTTTTTTTAACTTTTAAAAATGCTAGTACTGTTACAGAACATATTTTCAGTTGAAAAGACAGAAACAAATATTGCTAAAATTTCCAAACAAAACAAAAGATTGTATTTTACGCCTTGAGAAAACAGAATTACTGCTATACTTTTTCATGAAAGACTTTTTCTGCAAGATCTAGAATTTAGTGGGATATGTCTTGAATTTCAAAGAGTGACAGCTCCATCAAGTTGTTATAGAACTATGTCTTACCTTTTATGTATTTGACAAATGCTAAGTACTGCCTAAATGTAGCCTCATGTTTTGAGGAGAAAACTCAATGGATAGTGGAAATTCAGTCAAAAACAGATGTTAAAGAAAAGTGATTAGGTTTTACTTCTCTTTCTGACTGTTAGTCTCACCAGTCACCTACTTCAACTACAAATGGTTCCTTTACAGCTATTTTGCCACTGTTCACAATCACACAGTCTTGAAGGGGCCGGTCATGTTCATCTGTCTGCTGGAGTTCGATGGAGTGCACCACAGACTGTTAAACAAAAACAAACAAACAAATAGAAGAGTTCAGTTTAGCCAAGGAAACTCCAGTGGTTGAAGGCTTGTACCACATAAACAACTAAGTGCTCACAGCACTGATGTTTATTAACCAACTTATTATGAACAAGGACCTTTATCCCGTTGAATTCCCACGGGCTTTTTTCCCCCCACATTAACAGTTACGCCACTCCACAACTCACAGTCAGCAGAGAAGGCTCTTTGCCCTCTAGAAAAGCTTTGAGCCAACAAAAGCATTACGAAGGGGCAAGTGCAAATTTAAGTTCAGAAGACCCACCTAGCACATCCAGGTTTCTAGCTGTAGCCTATGAGCAGAAAGTGAGTCCAGAGATCAGAAAGGATAATCTACTTGTAAGGATGATTTCTAACTGTACAGCATAACTGTGCTTCCAGAAATCTGGTTACTGATTTTACCTTTAGCATATGACACATACATACAGATTTTAAGCGTGTTACCATGCCACCAGCATTTTTAAAGGACAAAATTCAGTTAGGTATATAGACTACCTGGCTTTGGATATTTGTCCATCAATCTGACTAAAGTAAAATTTAGTCTAAGTCTCTCCTCAAAAATTTGCAGCTACTACTGTAAGTTATGAAAATTGAATTCAATGTGAATATGGGAGAGGGGGACAAGTGTTATGATGAGATTTTCAGATTCCTCAAAGAACTGTTCTGTCCAGGAACTCATGTTTTCCCCATTAATTTCAAAACACTGATTAAAAAGGAGTAATTTAGAAGGAAAACCTGACTAATATATTCAGTTGAAAGTACCATTTTTAAACTCAAAATTCTATCTGGCCTTTCATCAGTTTTGCAGTTGTGTACAGTTTCACAGAATTAACTAATTTTTTTTCTTTTTAAACAGATCTGAATATATATGTTTTTATACTTAATATTCACATGCTTCTAAAAACCCTAACAGTTAAAGTGTTACCCATAACTAGCATGTCAGATTTGAGCTTGTAGAAATACAATTATTTCATGGCTAACAATGTTAGTGAAAGGAGGACCTGAACTTACTCCATTTGTAATCTGTAAAGGTGTCATTGTGGATTTCAGTGGCTAGTGGTCCGAAACAAGGGCTGTGAAAGCCAAAAGCATGATTAAAGTATCCATTTCTGCAGTTAGCATTTGGTTTCAGTTCTAAATTATCCAGCTGGAGCTCTTCACAATAATTTTCTACCATGTATGTATTAGATGAACACTCAACAGCTTTGAACCACAATTATGTAAGTTACAGTAGTACAGATAAAATGTGGCAGAATTTGTCCAGATTTTTTTTGTATTAACCTTGCCACTACTTTCAGCTTACCATTCCATCAAGGACTTTGCCAAATACTACATGTTTTCCATCTAACCAGGAAGGCTTTGTCACACTGATGAAGAACTGGGATCCATTGGTGTCCGGGCCGGAATTAGCCATGCTAACCCATCCAATTCCATAGTGTTTGAGCTTGAAGTTCTCATCTGGAAACTTTTCTCCATAGATGCTTCTTCCTATGACAAAAAATAAGAAAGCAAACTTAAAAAAAAAAAAAAAAAGTCCAAACAACAATCAAAAAGCCTTTTTTGTTCCAAAACGGGAAAAACGAAGTATGAATTCAGGACTACAGCAACATCACTGTTCCATCATCAGTGGATAACTAAAACTAATTTGCTTGTAAAGAAAAAAAGGTAAGCTAAACCACCCCATATAAGGACAGAATAGCTAAAGCTGATGATGTTTTATCCTTTCAATTTAACAAGCAAGCTGAGTATCTTCAGTGCTTACAGACACCACTGAACATTCGTATACTTCATCCTGTTCAACAAATTTAAATTACATAATTATGGCCAGTAACATTATGGCTGCCATGTTTTGAGACAATTTCAGTATTTATCCCTTTTCCTCCTAACAAGAAGTTGCCTCAGACACGTTTAGAAACACAGGAAGACCAGATGGAAGTTAAACTAAAATACTTGGTGTGGCTTTGTACAACCATGACATAAAGATTTTGGTGTTTCTAAAATAGTTTAGAAGAGAAAACACTTCAGTCATGTTTAAAACACCATCACTTTGAAAAGAGAAGGTTGTCTACCTCATTCTTTACTTGTGCAGTGCCTAGCACAATGGGGACACTGCTTCCAACACCATCAAATACTGTCCCAGTGAACTGCATTAGCACGAAAATAAACGCTGCCTATCTTTTATGCTAAAACTGTGTCTTTGGTATTTTAGTCTTCCCCATTGCTGGCTGCAAGGAAGAGGAATGTGTGTTTTCCATTCTACCCCAGCAGGGAAATCACTGCACTGTATGCAGACAGTTCAACTCGTAGCACATAAATAATGTGCATGAAAAGGAAGAGAAGAAATCCAAAGCCAGAGTGCATGCAATGCAAGAGATGCTGAGCTGGGACTGGTCTCCTCAGTGGACTGGTCTCCTGGAGGCTCAGGAGGGAGAACTGACACACACAGCCAGGACTCATACCACCAGTGAGTTTGTGGTTTCAATTCTGGTAAGAGAAAAAAAGGAGAGGGCATGACCCTCATTTTCTAATTTTTCTCTCCCTGTGTTGAAATTCCCTCTCACAGCACATTTCAGAAGGTTCCTCAGACCTGGCTGAGCTGAGGGCAGCAAGGACAGCCTCCCCCTTCCCTACCTGCCTTCCCTCTACGCGCTTTCACTGTTTCACCACGGATTAGATTTCTGCTGGATGACTTGATTTGGTTCTTGTATACATGCAACCAGGGAGTGCCTCAGGGAAGGAGCGCTGTCACAAAGCCAGAGCAGGGGAAGGGTGGAGACATCCATCTTTTGGAGACCGTAAGTTGTAGGAGCAGCTCAGCTGGTCACGTGGCTCCAGCCCAGCA